AAAACAAGCAGTTAACCCTTCCAGTCCGGTGGGTAGCCCCACTGCAAGGTTTAATAATATTTCTGCCCAGAGTTCTACTTTAAGCTAGTTGTTTTAGTGTGGGTCTGTTCAATCTGTGAATTCACTCAATTTTGGGTCATCAGACCTCATTATTATCACATAATACACTAGCAATTTCACTCCTTCCCAGTCGTGAGGCACACTCTATAACTAACCGTCCCAGCTCCTCTGGAGACTTCTTGAAGATAAGCTCCAACCACACCTACCTGTTGTTCTGCTATCCAGTGAGAGAGCCTCGGTGGCCAATAAGGAGGGTTTTATTAGATAGTGAAATGTTTCATTCTTAAAGTTTACAGAGGTTGACTGGTCACTTTAAGAACAGCCCAAATGATATATGTTCGTTTGAATTTTTCAATTCCAGACACATGCAGGTCTATTCACAAAAGGGTGAAGAGTTTGCAGAAGGCCGGAGAAGTGAACAATCTAGGACAACATAGCTGATTTGGAAATAATTCTCCAATTCAGCTCACTTTCCAGTTCAGCTATGTTGTCCTAGATTGTTCACTTCTCCTGCCTTCTCCAAACTCTTCACCCTTTTGTGAACAACCCTGTAAGACTCTTCTGGAAAATTCCAAGTCATAAGATCACAGTCTGGATTTGACCTTAACAGTGGTGTTCTGGGTAGCCTGCTGGCATATTATGTCACTCAGCTGTATGAGTATACCTTTTACTGTAGTCCATTGCAACCTATTAGATGTTTGACACTCTATATTACTGTGAAGGTTTTTGTTTACCCATGGCATAGCTAGTAGTAGTTAGACACAGTAAGAAGGTGACCAACTGCTACTATGTCTATTCTATTCTGTAATGAACTAATCAACTGTCTCTATGTTAGACCTCAAAATGGATGTAGTTTAGCAAAACTGGAGTATTTGTTTAAAATGAGCATCCATTTGGAGCAGGATCTTCTTGGATCAAGAAAAGTTTACAGACAAATATTTCTTAGTGTTTAGGGGCAGGGCACTGGGTATAAGTGACTTGGCAACACAGCTTCATTGGTTGCAGTAAAGATCTTTCAGGGCTTCGGACTGACTTTACGGGGGAATTTATTTGCATGTAGCTGCTCTTTTAACATCCTGGTTATTGTAATTAGGATTTTGGGAGGTGAGGTCTATAGGTCTACCCCACATGCACCAATTTGTTCTGTGCCACAAAGAAACTTACAGGGTTATTCACAAAAGGGTGTACAGTCTGGAGAAGTCAGAAGAAGTGAACAATCTAGGCCAAAATAGCTGAACTGGAAAGTGAGCTGAATTGGAGAATTTTTCCACATCACCTATGTTTTCCTAGATTGTTCCCTTCTCCTGCCTTCTCCAAACTCTTCACCCTTTTGTGAATAACCCTGATAATAAGTGCCAACCCTCCAAAATAATTTCTTAACCTTTTAGACAGAGGTACCCAACTACTGTAGGTGCCAGTCAGGTTGTCAGATACCTGTTGTAAATTCATATTGTTTTGATGTATTTCCAAACTCAATACAAAGAGACTTTATGAAAATGTGTTTATTTCCAATTGTTAAAGACAATCCTAATTCAGTAACTCCTGACAAATAAAGTCCCCCATTATTTGTAAACTGGTAAAGAGGTCCTCTAACCCTCTTACCAGTTCTCTAAAGCTGCCGCCAAGACTCCCATATCCTGAGTTGTAAGATCTCCTCTATCAAGCCAGAGGGGGGTTCCCTAGAGTATGCTGTACTCCCTCATTTAACACCATTACTTGAGTAGGAATTCCCCTTTGGCTGGTTGAAGGCAATTAGGAGTGCATGGTTTGTAGGCAGCTTTAGAGAAAGAAGAACATTTTCCAAATGATGGTGAATCGATGGATGAGAAGACTGATGACCATATCGGCTGTAGTCTATAAGATCTCTTTTGTACATCATGAGGTGCCTTCATGGTTTCATATTCACTTGGTTGATAACCACTAATGTAGAGAAGGAATTGTATTCTCGCCAACCTGGAGAATGTCACATGGATGTCTGGGTGGATACAGAGGTCTTGTCACATTTTATTCTAATGTTAAAGGGCAACTCCACACAACATACAACTCAGTAATAAGCTATAGGAATAGCTAGACATCCACCGTGGCATAATAAATACAATATTCAGCCTATGATGACCCCAAAGACCTGTTTGTGATATTGACATTTCTGTCTGTGTTCTGAACCACCAGCCAATGCAGACTATGCGATTTGAGCCACAATTAGACTCTACCAACATGAACAGAATCAGGAACTTTAAAAATTCATCACAACAATGTTTTGAACTCTTGTTCAAAGTGGACATAATCTGATCCCACCAATGCATTTTGCTGATCACTTTCGCTGACTGACTGTAGTTCTCCTTTAAAGTAAATACTTGGCAGACTGCCCTATACAAGGACACTTTTAGTGATTTCTGGCTCCTGAACTACCATTTCCAGCATGCTGGTAGAAGGCTGCGGTGGATGCCGCAGACTTTGGACGCGCTTGTCATTTACCTGTAGATATTCCAGTGATTGTAAGTGAATCTTAAATCTTAGTAGAAAAGCGTAAAAAAACACAAAGCTCTTCTTAATGCATATACTTGCATGGAAAACATAAAAAAAAAATCTAATTTGCTTTCACCAGAAGCAAGTCTGATGACAATGAGTCATAATACACAAGTGGTGCTAATATATTTATAATCTCCATGAAAATATATGTATATAAACAGCAAGTTATATTCAATAGGAACACTTATGTATTAGAACAATATCAAGTTTCCTACTTTAGATTATAAGCATTTACTAAGTCACCTCCATGTGTTCTACAAAAGTACTGGACGTGTGACATCATAAAGAAACAGAACACCTCATTGGCTCTTAAAGAAGAAATTCAATTAAAAAAAGTTAAAGGATTAGTTTACCTTTAATTGCACTTTCCAAATTTGACCCTCCCTCTGCAGCAACTTTCCTAATGTAATGACATCATCTAGATCAGGGGTGGGGCATCTCCTGACCTCCCGCTGTGGTGAAACTACAAATCCCATGAAGCATTGCAAGATTCTCACAGCCAGAGGCATGACTTCCAGAGACAGATGTATCATGGGATTTGTAGTTTCACCCCAGCTGTAGGGTCAGAGGTTCCCCACCCCTGATCTAGCTGTTAGAAGGAGTCAATTGTAGTCTGGCCTGCCCAGGTATTCGTGTCCTTGGTTCTCCTATAATGCTTTTCATTATAGCACATAAGCCTTAATGAGCAATTACTTTGCTTGACCGATATGTTGGTCTAAAGACACAGGTGGCTTCTATTCTTTGGGGCCAACCAGGGTTCCTCCAGAGGTTGCCAGAAATTCCATGAGAAGTGATGGATTGGTCTTCCTTCTGACAGCTTAGATCTGGGGCCAGAATCACTTGACAGAGTCAGCAAAGCCTTTTTGGCAAGTATACTATGCTGCCAATTGTCTTTTTAGCTGCCTGTAAGGGCCACTTCTCCACTGAACACTCATGTAAGAGGACCCTGATCCCAGTGTACGGGGCGTTTCTTCACTGACCATCAATGTAAGAAGGTCTTTTCAAAATGGCTACCAATGTACTGGGCCCAATTACAATGGAAGGGGGCACATTGCCACTGCTCAGCAATGTAAGAGGACATGACATTGACAATGTAAGGGGGCATTGCTCCATTGACCACCAAAAATAAGGGACGCTACAGTTTGCATTGTTTGTGATAACTTCATGGTTATTATCAATAAGTTTCATTTCATGCTGAAAAAAATGTCGTGGTAAAGAGCCGGGTGGGGAATGTAGAAAACAAAATCTTTATTCTTTTATTTATTTTTATATCCACAACTTACTGATGATGCTAATGTAATGTGAGCTGTAGATATAATCATTCTTTGCAAAGGTTTGCAAGGGCCCTAAGGTGTCTTCCAGCTCACGCACCAGATTACAAGGAAAGATTGGAGAGGATGCATTCACCGTGCTGGCCCTGGGCAGGGCAGACAGTGTAAATCTACCCCTTCCCTGCATTTCAAATTAGTGGCTACATCAGGAGCGTTGCTATGGAGGGAGGGGGGAGGGCAAATACGGAAAATACTTGTAATAATTCACTTATCCTTTAAATGCCTACTTTACACCTGTAAACTCAATTTTTTCTACCAGTTAGTCCTTGCTGCTGTAAACCTTCCTCATATTACATAGCTGTTTTGCTGTGAAGATTGTGACACTTTTCTGAAATTGTAATTCATTAACACACAAAGATAAATTTTCTTATTCTGTGTCACAGCCCCGCCTCCTGACATACTGTATGCCTAAGCTATACTTAAAGCTGAACTCCAAGCAGGTATAAATATAACACAATTTAATTTTTAGATTCCTAAGAGAGAGAAAGGAGTGAGAGTGGATCTCATCAGAGTATTGCTGCTCATTCACTGTCCAGTTACAGGCTGGGGGGGGGGCAGGTCTTAGGCCAGCTGCATTGCAGACAGTAGTGTGAATAGTGTAGGTCCAGTGCGCAGAACCTAGCAGGATAATATGGGTCACAAGACTGGCTGCACAGAGGAGGAGAGGACAGACATCATCTGCGTATTGCTGCTCCTTCACTGTCCAATCACAAGCTGCGGGCAGGTCTTAGACCAGACTGTATTAATGACTACACTGTAGTGTGTAGGGAGGTCCAGAGTGTAGGACTTGGCTTTGCAGTCTGGCAGGGAATTGCAGATCACAAAACTGGCTACACAAATCCTTTGGCAAGTTGGGAAGTGTACACTGTACTTTAACTGTGCATTTAGCAATCTGCCTAGATTTCAGATTTATACCTGCAACATTAGACTGTCTGAGATGGATTCTAAGAAGCACTAAGTGCCTCCCATTCCAGCTTTTCCCCTCCTCTTTCATTTTACCGCCCAGTGCAATCAGTTCTTCTTTCTGCCAGATTTGGGATTTTAGCAGAAAAAAATAACTATCTAATACAATGGTATTATGAAAGGTTCATCATTTAAAAATAACTGTTGCAGTTCTCTGTTCTCTGAAGACCCTCTCTTTTTCTTCTTTAACATCCATGTAATCTACATTATACACTACAACCTCATATTATATACCTTTTCTGTAAAGCACTGAGGCCAGCCCGTACATATTCTCACACACAGACTAGATACTTGACAACGAATCGACATAGAAGGCAGGGAGTCATGGCCCACCATTACTTTTATTGAATGGTCCCCGTATTCTTCTTTCCCATTACTGCTTTGAGGCCGCCCTCTTATTCTGTGTCGACAGTCCAATTTAAAAATAATCTTCTCACGTTAGAAATAAAAATATTGCTTACAAACAGCTAAGAAAGTACGCGCAGATGACCTTAAAAGTCCGTCACGCCGAAGCGCCTTTAAAGCGCTCCCGCAAATGTCAATCCACTTCTAGTCCTTCTTGCGCCAGAGTTGGCATTCTGATCACACTCTCTTCACCTGGGTGATAATCTTCTCCTGTCTTTAGGCACTGGAGTTATTCTGCAGGAGAAGAGAAGAGGTCATTAGAGGTCTATTGATTGCTTTTTATGGAAGGCATCAAGAAAAGCACTCTGTACTCTTGTGAGGTTATCAGCCAATATAAAAAAAGACCTTCTTACAAAATTGGATAACCGGAATCTGTGTGTAAGTAATAAAGGAAAAAAAATACCAAAGAGGTCAAAGAATAAGCTCGCCTTACTGAAAAGTTAACTGATATGTTGTTGCGCATACCTGTTTGAGTCATTGGGCTACAGTGCCTTGGACAGTAGGGACAAATTAAAGAAGAACTATAAAAATTTACTCTTGCAGTAGGGCTACCCCCACACTACATGGGTAACTACTCATTTTGGTCTAGGGGCTAGGATAAAGAAAATATACTCACCCAATCCTGGGTCCTGCTTGGCTGCTAGGCCGGCCTCTGCAGCCTCCTCTTTCCCGGGCTCTGGCGGTCTAAGGACCCATGGCGTCATCATGTCTAACGCAGCTGCGCTAGACGTGAGGACCCTGGGGGAAATTTCATTGCCAGACCGAGGGACACCTGAGTATATCTTCTTTCATTTAGCCCCTAGCCCTGAAACCAGCATTTAACCCTTGCAGTGTGGGGGTATTCCCACTGCAAGGGTTCATTTTTACATTTCCTGGAGTTCTTCTTTAAATGTACACTTTACCTGAATGACATTTAGTTTGCCAAAGCACTGTGCATCTCAAACAGTTGTCAATTATTTTAAAGTACAATGTATGTTTTCACCTTATTTTTATCCTATATGTGACATCTCAGTGCTGTTGATCTCCTGCAGCTTCTTTGCTGCTGCATGTTGTCAACATGCCCAGGGATAGCTGCATGTCATTTATAGGGTGGGTCTCCTAATGGTGACAGCAGTGGACCATGGCTGTGTATTTTCTGTTGAAACCCACGTGGCAGGGTGACAAGGCAGGAGAAGAATTGGTAGACAGTGAAAAAGAGTTGTCACTCTATAACAGGAAGTGCTTGAATAAGGATCTTCATAGCAGGATCACTAGGTATTATTGTAATGAAAGCTGTAGATTTAAAAACATCTCTATCTCCCTTCTGGATTTTTTTAATACATAGAATGTAGCAGGAGTTGGGATATATACACGTGGGCTGGAAAACAAATGGGAGTTATGAAGGGGAGAACTCACTGCTGTAGTATCCAAGACACAGTAAAAGCCCATAGCTGACTGTTACATCCAAGCTCTCCCTATGGCGGGAATATCACTTTGGGATGGACTGATCCTTTAAGTGAAGAGCTTTTTGGTTCCCTTTGGCCCCGCTGACATAATCTAATTGGATACCCTGTCAAGTAAATGTCCAGGTACCAAATGGTAAACTAAAACGTATTTTAATTTTGAAACCGATAAAAACAAATGCTGAAAAACATAATCATTTTATACTGCAGAAGAAGCAAACTTTGCATTATGCAGCAATTTCTCAAGTTTCTGAAATACTTTTCTATTATTCTCCTCTTTTATTTACATCGTAGTCACATAAAAGGCACTGCCTTCCCTCTCTGCACTCATTTAATATTCTGTTTTACGCTGAGCGAGTGGCAAGGGACCAGGCGCCAAACGCAGGAATCAAAATGTCAGAATGCTTAATTGTAGTCATGAAAATGCCTTTCCTAAAAAATAATGGATTTTGAGAACATCATAAACAAACAAAACAAAAATTGAACTGGAAAATACTGAATTTTTAAAAATTCCACATATTGAAAATATCTCTATTTGTTTTATTTATTTAGCAGTGTGTAGGTTATTTTGGGAGTATTTATTGCAGTTTAGTTCATTTCTATTACTGTTCTCTGTATTATTTTTTTTATTTTTTTGTTTGAAGTGGATTGTTATTCTTGGACTGGCGCTGTAATTTTTTTATTTCAACTTTTTCTTGCTGTTAAAAAAAACACAATCTTGTCAAAATGTCCTGATTTTCGCCATAAAGGAAATGAAAATGTTAAATTTCTCTGCTTGCTAATCTAAAATAATAAAGATGCTGCTGTTCAGCGTATGCTAACAAGTACATTTTTTGATATCGGTAGTTTAGTTCATTTCTATTACTGTTCTTTGTATTTTTTCCTTTTTCAATGCCGGTAGCAACTACTCAAAATGCTTGTTTCATTTTCAGGCATGAAAAGTAGAGATTTCATTTGTTTTGGTAGTTTGGTTGGTCCTTATTATTTCCTTTTTAAACACCATACCCAAAGTAATTTAAGTCAAAGAGTCAGCCCAACAAAAGCTCATATTTGGCTGAACTACATCCTGGCTCCTAATGCTTTCAGTAGTGAAATCCATAAACCTGAGATCCCAGCTCCAAACACCTGTCACAATCTTAACAAACAATTCCCACTGGATTATTTATTGTAAACAACAAACACATGGGAAGGGAATTTTACAGCTGGAGCCTCCAAGAAAGTAAAATAATTAGTGTATTTGACTAGCATGTGCCCATCAGAGAAATATCACATTTGAATGGACTGACCCTTTACATTTCTTAATCCCACATGTCTCCTTTTCTACAGCAGCACTGCCCTTGGCCGCCACAAGCTGTGAACGCTTTGAAGTCATCATTGTACCATTTATATTGTGTATTATGTGCGCACTGCAAGATTAGATGCCAGTTTGAGCCACGTACATAAAGATTTATCCCCTTGAATAATTTTCATTTTTTCCCTGAATAATAAAAACATGCCCTAGATAATTCCTCGGTGGCTCCCTCGCCTTCCTTCCCGGTTTAATTATTGTAGATCAAATAGGTTTCCTCCCTTGAAGATTTCTATAGACAAGTTCTTGCATATAATCCTTTATTCACCGAAAAACCATTAGCACCCTCTTCATCTCCCCGGACCTTTAAAACGGGAGGAAACCTGTGAACGCCAAATCTCTGCAATGGGCTAGTAATACAGAAATAGACCGAATTATCCGTGCCATATTAGAAAATATATCTGCTAAAATTGTGTATATAACTAAAATACATTTACTTTTAGATAGTTGAAGAAATTACAATAGTGTGCAAAGTGCAGTGACCCAGAGCAACAAGAGCATAAGTAGAGCCCTATAACTAAAGTGACTGCTATGGGGCCCAGAAGCCCATGATAAACAAAAGCTTGCTAAAATGATCACTGGATCCAGAGGTATAAAAGGCTAAAAGGTATAATGTATATAATATTCAACTTTGCCTGTAAAATTTCCATCTGGCACATTCTTCTTCAGCCTCCCTATTGGTTGTTAAGGTTGCTCTTATCTCAGGGAGATGAGAGTGAGGCACTGGACCCAGTTTCCTAGGTGGTTGGTGGAGTGTCTATGTTTCGACCCAATGGCAGCTACCCATAAAAACTGTGTTTTTCCTGAGTACAGGGGTCACCCAGTTTGTGAAATCTGTTTGCAGTCCGGCACTGGGGAGCACCAAAACCATACTTTAAGAGCCCAGAACAGTACTTTTCTATTTACACAATTATCAGGGAGATGACAAGAGATAGGCAATGTGTTTTGGGGACTTACAATCCTCCTTGCACACATGCTAAATGATTCTAACTCAGGAGCCTCGGCTTGTGTATCAAAGACAAAAAAATGGATAGTAGACACGGTCTGCTGAGCTGTCTATTGAGGACACCCACTGACTACCCTTTTTTTGCCTTTAATACACAAGCACAGGCTCCTGAGTTAGAGTCCTTTTGCTGACTTTTTATGGCCCTGCCAAAATCTTTAGCATCCCCTATGGACCATGTACTTCCCAACTGAAATGTAAAAAAGTGCCTGTGATAAATGTTCCTATTTATCATGAAAGAGAAAAAATAATTACAAGACCATGTAATCCAGCGTTATCCCCTCTGCAACAGTTGTTCTCCTAGCATGGCCCTCTGTCTTTCTGGTCTTTCAGCCGGCCTTCTGATAACATGACAGCAGATCTTGTGCATCCACAGTCTGGCAACGTGCTGTGCGTGCCAGTCCGCACACAAAAATTGAATTGCCTGTCTATATATAATATGTAAGCACGGTTGTTTATACAGGAGAGAAATATTGCAGTGGCTCCTAGGATGTGTGACTTGGAAATCCCATGAGGCTGCAGCCAGCCATTGTATACATTACCCCACCTAGTCAAGAATCTAGGAAGTATGGAGGGCACATTTCAAACGAGGGAAAAAAGGTCTTTACAGGATAAAAGAAATTATACAATTATCAGTGATTTTGTTGGGGGGAAGGGGGAAGCGCTTAAGATGTGAATTTTAAGCTTAATGGTTTGCTTTAAAACTGAGCTCCAGCCTTCCCTTTAGACTTGCACAGTTGTACAGACTCCTGTACATTTGCGTACTGTGAGAATGTGCATTAGAAGCTGCAGCCAAAGCCAAGTTAAAAGCCAAGTTAAAGTTTTGCCAGTGTAGAGACCTTGCCTTAACCTGGCATATCCCTAGACTTAATTTAGTGTTTGTAGCTAGGCTGTAGCCAGCCTGAGCTTTGTTTATGTTATCTGTGATCACTATGTTTTTCCTAAGCCCAAGGACATTGTCTGCCTGCTTCTGGGGACTGGTTTTCAGCACATGTACTATTCATCCAAAATCATAAGCATTATGTAGCACATACAAAGTGTCTATTCCAAAAGATCCACTGCAAATAATCAAGTGTTGCCGCTACTATAGATGATGAGAATCCTAGTAATAAGCGCAATTGCTCCAACTACTATTGCATAATAAGACTTCTCTATTCTAGCTGCTCAATAAGGTGCCAGTCTCCAAAGGTATTCAGCAACAGGTTAAGTCACATACTGTTCCTGTGCTCCATGTTCACATCCGCTATATTGAACATATTAATGGAAGATGTTTTCATGCCCCATGAGTACCTGGAGCATGTGCACGGTATGTGACTTAGACTGTTGCTCAATACTTGTTTGTTTGTTTGAGCCAAATACATTTTGCAAAAGAAGATTGGAGGACTTAAAGTCTGTCTGATTTTAATTACTGGAGGATTAATGAGTGCCTAGGTAAAGCAAC